CCATTAAACACACTGTGCAAAAATGTAACAGAAAACTGTGAAAGCAGCTGAGAGCGGGCTCACATTAGTGTGTGTTCAGACTATGTTCCATTGAATCGTGCCGAGTAGAAATCTAACTATATTAAATGCATCAGGAAGTGCATACCCTTGGCAGGCCTGGCAATTCGTTGTCCACCATGGTGGCTACATGAAACTGAAGCAGCTTGACATCCTCAGCTATGACGTGAGCTGCCGCACCACTCTGCTCGTTTCTCCTCAGCTGGTTGTTGATTTTGACAATGTCAGCCAGCTTGTGCGTCAAGTCATCCTTTAAAAACAAAAGATCATCGTCAGGTCTCCACAGCTTAAAGACATGCGGGAACAAAACATCCAGTCCGGGATCCTGTTACTTTACCTGGTTACGGGCAGAGCCCTGCATGACTACAGCAGGCCTGACAGCCAGCGGAGGCACGGGCAACACAGTAACAATCATCCATTCTGGTCGGGCAAACTTGGGGTCCATGCCCAAGATGATGTCCTCTTCATCCGAGATGCGTTTGAAGATCTCATGCACACGCTCTGGACTCAGCAGGATTTTCTTCTCCTGCGAATCCTCATTAACGTGCTTCCACTCGGCATACAGTTCCAAGCCAGAGCGTCTGATGCGTGGCTGGTAGCGCCCACAGCCACCGTGGCCCTGCGAAGGTCACACAGTGGGAGTGAAGGGAAAGTGTGAGAAAGAAAATATGTTGAGTGGTGAATGTCGAGAGCTGGAAATGCACTTTGACTATGGAGGAAAAGAATCCAACCAAATACCTTCTCCTTGGTAATGTCCTCCTCAGTCTCCTGCTGCTCCATTCCAAATTTGTTGTCCATCTCCTCACCTCCTTCACAGATGTTTTTTCCTTTGCACAACTCGTACACGTGTGTCAAACGCTTCCTGGGCTGCCCTTTAGATTTTATCAGGATGTCTTTGATCTTTGGATTGTTCTAGACGTAGCCGCAATGAGAGCAAGTTAAACATCAACATTGCAAAATGCTATGAAATAGACTGAAATTATACTCTTAGTGGATTTTTATTATGATGTACTGTAAAATGCTGAATACACTTACAGAGTCCACTAATAGCTTAGAGCAAAAGAAGCAGACACATCGAAGAACCTTCATTATCTTTGTCACAAAGCCAACATGGAAAACTGGCTTTGCCAGTTCTATGTGTCCAAAGTGGCCAGGGCATTCTGTCATGTTGCCTGAGGAAACAAATTCATGTATATGACATTAAGACATGAATTCAGATAGGGACAACATTAAACTGATCAATAATATACTTTAGAATTAAAAGACTGACATGGCACTGTACCTGCACATGTCTGACATCTTCCAGTTCGTTCTATGACCCCTTGTCTTGGGTCCATAAGGCCACCAAGTTTAGGACGTCCTCCTTCTGTTGTTTCGGGGTATTTGATTCCCCCTTCTGTAACGGACATCCGTTTCTGTGGAGAAAGACCATATATATATATTTAAGTTAATGCTACAATAGTCAGCAATTGATTATGTGCTAGAATACAAAAATATCAATAACACCACCATTAATGCTCATAGGAGCTAGAATCAATTTCTAGAAACCTATTCAGTGCTAAAATTACTTAAATTAACAGGAAAGTGTGAAACATTTGCTACATTTGGCAACTTTTACTATGATCTGTAACATTATGCTAAATTACATAAACAATTTTTTTTTTAAATGTAGTATTCATTCATCTTTATAACCACTACATCCTGAGTTAAAGAAATCATGCATATCTGACTTTGTTCAAGTACCCTTTTATTCATTTATTGTGAGAAAACGTTACATAGCAACCAGTGGTTAAACCAGACGAGCCGAGTCCATAACGAGTAGTACAAAAATAACCAACATCTCTACATACTGGTGGGCCTACAAGGTACACTGGGTGAATAAAATGGGGGTTTAATTCATGTGATAGCATGGTTCCTTTTTGATAATGTTGTGCTTAAAGTTTTTCAAACTTCCTGCAACGTGCTAGTTAGCACTAGCTTCACCAGCCTGACACAGCTAGGCTAGGCTAATAGCAAGCATTTTGTAAACACAACCATGTCTGTGCCACATATGTTACACTACAAGATACGTCAAGAAACTAAAAGAGTGGTGAGTGTGTGATCTGTCCGAGAATCAATAAAATACCCCACTCCCCCCTCAAAAAGAAAACCTACAAGTTCATCTGGGCTGATGATGCCGAATTGAACTCTCTTGATCGTGCGCAATGGGCATGCGCTGTCGCCGGAGGGCGGTCCGTGCATCCTGTCTATTCAAAGAGACGCGTCCTTCCTCGGCACGCCGCTTTGTGAGCAGGAACAGGCTTTAAATTGTCACCACGACTCTGGTCAGGCCGCCAACGGTGACCGGAAAGTCTCCGAAGGCGATATCCCAGGGACCTCTGCTGTCGGTTGCCTTTATAGCCTAATTATTTGTATTTTGGTCCTAAGTAAGATGGCCACCGACTGCTCCCTTCCCTTTTCCTGATCTACACTGTGGAGCGCTCTGAGCGCTTCTGAGCATGAAGCTGCTCAACGCTTGCCTTTATAGACCGACTGCATACTACGGGGTTTCACACTCACTAACACAGGGGCTGCCTCTTCGGGAGGTGGGACATGGATCGCCGTAGTAAAACGCTCATTGGCCATTCAAGACAGTTACGCGAATACTTAATTTTATCACACGTACAGCCAATCAGAGAGCGCGTTTATTTTTGTTAACAAATCCAAACTAAAGGCGGGCGTTGATTGAATCTAAACTCATCCTGATTGGCTTTATTAAAAAACAGTAGGCGGTGCGGAGACTGTTTTGCATGCAATATATGAATATTCAATTTAAATCCTCCCGATTCGCCCGTTTTGCTGTTACTATTGAGTAGTAGTAAAGAGAGGACCAATGGCTATTAAGAAATGCACCCTCTTAGAATAATTTCAACAAAACCCACCCTACTTCCGATATTTGCCGATCGTGTCCGATGTGAATTTCTTCCCTCAGAGCAAAAATAAAAAAAATCTCTGTTCTCCCGTTCGTCTCGCTCTAGATCAACCTGGGCTCTAAGAAAAGAGGCTCAGGGCTGAGGCCTGGTAATACCCCTCATTAAAGACGGGAGAATTGTCGAAATACATTATATTTTTATCTGGAAACAATGTGATATGGATTATTTTTCGAGCTAATTTAGAAACACATTGTTTTGTCGTTTTTTCTCCTTTGTATTTTTGGATCGCTGGGACTTTGTAACAAGCCTCGGACCCGCCTGCGAGTGATGGCCGGCCAGCGGACTCGATTTTCCGCACGCCCTACAGGAAAACCTGGGAGAAGCCTTAAGTGGTTTTTTTAACGTTTGCTTCTTCAACTGTTTTCACAATTTTTACACACAGGTGTTCTGTGTGTGATTTATATGATATTAGATTGTCAGATAGTCTTGACGTTTTTAATAATTTTGTTAAAATGTTAAACATTGTCGTAGGCCACGTTTCAAAAGCACTCTGAAATGCCGTAATTTTGGCGGTTAAGCAAGTAACATTAACGTTAGTTCGCTATTTATTTAATTGATCATTAACTTGAATTACGTAAAGGTGTAGTTTCTATAACCGATCTTACATTTAAATACCAACGTTAAAATTGATTTCTTAGCATTGCCGCCGGTGATCTGGTTATTTTACTACGACGACTACTTTGTCGATAAGGACGGATTGTTCTCTGCTGTTTGTCTGTTAACTTAAATTATCAACATTTAACGTGTAACGTTAGTCTCGCTTTGTGGCAATGTGTGTGTATATATAACGTATTTAAGAATTTATAAGCTCAGAAGATGTCTTTATATAAGCTAAAGTATCATGATGGTTTAACTTAGCTTTGCATTGAACGTTACGGGACAACACGTTAAGCTAGCTAACTTATCTGCTTAGCAGTTAGTCATTTGTTAATTAAATCCCTAACTTGAGAGCCAGTTTTTGTGTTAGTGTTAATGCTGTAGTAGACGAGTGTTGTTTGTAGTGGGGGTATCTATTGTATTAAAACGTTAACTACCTTGCTTGAAGACTAACATAAAGGCTGTTGTAGCTAGCATACAGTTTGTCTCCATTAGTGCCCAACATGGCGGTGTCTGATATGCTTCTTGTTGTGAACGGGAAAGATGGAGTCCGGAATATTCTTGTTGGCTAACTTGGCCGGTAACCTAGCTGCGCATTTTCAATAAAAGAAAGTGGAGCTCCGTGGCAAAGGACAGACAATTTGATCGTTTTATCTGACTATGTTTAACGCGATAGGATTTCAAGAGCAGAAACAGCTTAATAGTTTGCTAGACAGTATTTCAGTAGTCCTGACTCTACGTCGGTGTCGAAGTTGAAGCCATTTTGCTAGCTAAGTACGTGCATAGTAGTCTGTTATTGTAAGGGAAAGCTTAGTTTAGTCTATAATACGTTTCACAGCACACTTTGATTATGGCATAGCAGGTATTCCCCCCCTTTTACTCAATCTTTGGATTACTTAAAGTTAAGCTGTTATAGTGTAAGTATTAATCTTGTCTTCAGGGACTAGGAAATGCCATTAGCTTGTTACACAATAGATTTATCCGGTTAACTCTCGTTAGTTGTACCCAAGGGAGGAGAACAAGTACCGTCTGACCGGTGTTGATGACCATCTAAATGTTGAAAAGCAAAACGATACACTGTTTATGCATGTTCCTTTGAGAGCCATAAATCTCCATTGTCTCATTCAAGCAGTGTTGTGGTAATTGCATAAGGATGCTCAGTTGACCCATGTCTCATTTTGTCTAAAGACATTAAACGAAGTGGAAGTAAAATCTACACATTGTTTGAACCACCTCAATATCTCAGTACTATATCATAATATCAGACTGATGTATTGTTTATTACATGTAATGTCCATGTAACAGTGCCCAAAACATCTTGTTACAATTTCTGTATTTCTCTTTGTTTTAAATAAAGACACTGAACCAACATGATGGACTGTGGTATTATTTTATTCTCTGATAATTACACAAAGCTAATTTTAACATACCGTAGTCATGTTAAAATGTAACATTCATGTCAAGCGGGACAGCCTAGTGTTTTATGTGGTGCTACCTCTCTGCCATCATTTCTTTTTGGCAGGTCCAGCAGAAGGAGGCATCATTGAAGCCCTGAAGCAAGGATAGATGTCCATATCTACAGTATCCTTATGGAGTAAAATAATATGTTTTATGTGAATAAGCCGGAAACAGAAACCCGTGCAAGCCACGTCTGAAATGCACAGAAGAATGTGACAGTAAATCACTTTGTTCCCCATGTGCCATGCTATACCATGACTATACAAAGGATTCATTATTGACCAGCTGGCTCCCTCCTCTGGCTCGTATTGAGAATGATCAGCGGTGCGAAGACATTGCACAACCACATTTTCAAAGCGGAAGTGAGTCCCACACGGCTGTCAGTCGTGCTCCCTCTACTGCTCCAAGGAGGTTAGTGCACGTAGGTCTGGTGATGTCTGGTCTGTAGTTTGATAGGAAGCGTTTTCAATTGTAAAATGTGATTATTATAGCAGTTTGTAAAGCCTCTCCACAACATGTTACCATGATATCAGAAGCAGTTACCTCCCCTTTGACATTGCAATGATTACAAGTGACATTTATACAAATTGATTTTGGTGTGCTTGTAAATGGCATATAATGTGATTTAAACATGTAGCTTACTTTAAACTAAATGTGTAAAATTATGACTTCGCAGGCCCTGAATGCTTTTGAACACAGTTTAATCATTCAGTCAGAAACCCACTGTAAATTCGGATACGATTAGATTTACCTTAAATTTTCAGTTGGTTTTTTTTTTCTGACTGGTTGTCATTTGCCACATGATCTGTATGGATGGGTGGCTGTAGGTTGTTCACAGTGGTTTTCTCTTTGAGCATTCATTAATACACAGTGATGTAGTGTAAAGAGAAACAAAACTAGTTGAAATAGGTATCTAACTTTTTGTTCCTACCTTGGCAGTTCATATATTTGTATATTTACAGTCGCAGGAAAAAGTATGTGAACCCTTTGGATTTGAACCCTTATCTGGATTTCTGCATAAATTGGTCATGAAATGTGATCTGATTTTCAGAGTCACAAAAGAAACACAGTCTGCTTAAACTAACTCCAAACAAACAATTACATGTTTTCATGTTTAATTGAACACACTGAGTAAACAGTCACGGTGCAGGGTGGAAAAAGTATGTGAACCCTTTGGCTAATGAGTTCTCCAAAAGCTCATTGGAGTCAGAAGTCAGCCAACCTGAAGTCTAATCAATGAGATGAAATTTGAGGTGTTGGTTAGAGCTGCCCTGCCCTATATAAAAACACGATCACTTTTAATTTTGCTATTCTCATGAAGCATTGCCTGATGTGAACCATGCCTCGACAAAAAGCTTTCAGAAGACCTAAGATTAAGAATTATTGACTTACATGAAGCTGGAAAGGGTTACAGAAGTATCTCTAAAAGTCTTGATGTCCACAGTAAGACAAACTGTCTATAAATGGAAAAAGTTCAGCACTGTTGCTACTCTCCCTAGGAGTGGCTGTCCTGCAAAGATGACGAGCACAGAGCCGAATGCTCAGTGAGGGTAAGAAGGATCCTACAGTGTCAGCTGAAGACTCACAGAAATCTGCTAACATCTCTGTTGACGACTCCATGATACATAAACACTAAACAAGAATGGAGTTCATGGGAGGACACCACAGAGGAAGCCACTGCTGTCCAAAATGGAAAACAAACAAACACTGCTGCACGTCTGCAAAAGAGCGCCTGGATGTTCCACGGCACAACTGGCAAAATATTCTGTGGACAGATGAAACCAAAGTTGAGTTGTTTGGAAGGAACACACAACGCTATGTGTGTAGAAAAACAGGCACAGCACACCAAAATTAAAACCTCATCCCAGCTGTGAGTTATGGTGGAGGGGTCATCATGATTTGGGGCTGCTTCACTGCCTTAGGGCCTGGAAGGGTTGCTATTATCAACGCAAACATTTATTCCAAAGTTTATCAAGACATTTTGCAGGAGTATATACAGGTCATCTGTCCGCCAGTTGAAGCTCAACAGGAGATGGGTGATGCAACAGGACAACGACCCAAAGCACAGAAGTAAATCAACAACAGAAAGGCTTCAGCAGAAGAAAACGCATCCTTCTGGAGTGGCCCAGTCAGACTCCTGACCTCAGCCCGACTGAGATGCTGTGGCATGACCTCAAGAGATTGATTCACACCACACATCCCTGATCTGCAACTACAGGAAATGTTTGGTTGAGGTTATTGCTGCCAAGGAGGGCCAACCAGTTAATAAATCCAAGGGTTCACATGGAAAGATATAATTGTTCGTGTGGAGTTAGTTTAAGCACACTGTGTTTGTCTGTAGTTGTGACTTAGATGAAAATCAGATCACATTTTATGACCAATTTATGCAGAAATCTAGGTAATTCCAAAGGGTTCACATACTTTTTCCTACAACTGTATATATGTAGCAGTATGTGTTTGCTTTCCAGACACATTCATTCCTGGAAGGGGTGAGGATTCGTGTATCTAGGGGGAGCTCTTGTCTGGTGTTGTCAAAGCCTGACCGAGTGTGTTGTCAGGGCTTGGTGGGGAGTTAGGGAAGGAGGGAGCTTTGTAGCACAATGAAGTAGGCGAATAAGGAAAGAGGGAGGGAGAGCAAGACGAACAGATGCAGAAGCACGGGGGGGAGGAGCAGACTGTTTTTTTTTTCAATCTGATTTACAATTAAAAAGTTTAACTAAACCTGCCCCGTAGTTACTCCAGAAAAACGACAACCTCATTAGATGTAATAATCAGCTGGTGAGCCGTTGCTCCTGAAGCACCACAACACAGTATACACCTGTGTTGTCTGAAACAATTCACACACTGTTTATGAGCATGGATAGCTTTCTCCAGAAAACAAAAAAAAACAAGGCAACATATTCTGAAGGCTTTGGTGCTTGTTCTTTGGATAAAACATCCCTGCTGAGCATAAAATGGAGATTTTGTGGGCCATAGTAAAATTTGTGAATCAGATTCTGGGTGTTGATTGCTGTAAAAAAAGAATAAAAATAGACAAAAAAACTGCTAGGACATGAGAGTGAATCGTGTGTTATTATATGAACAAGAAATAATCTGTTTTAGGCTGCGTTTCCCCTTAAGTTATGCACCAGGATGTTGTTTTGTAATGAAAGCGGGTGACGCAGGGTCGGAGGCATGCTCTCGCTGAGAGCCCTTTGGAAAAGGCCGGCCCATTTTTGTCCGTAAGAGAATGTCCTGTTCTTTGGGTGTTTGTTTTGGCTCATGTCAGCCCCTGCCAAGCGTCTTCATCTTTCTTTTATCCTTCCTTTTATCATCCACACACCCTTTCAGACCTTCCAAATTCTCGTCTGCTCTCTTTTACACGGGATTCTTTGTAGGCAGCTCATTTGTGGAGGACAGACAGAAGCAGGAATGTTAAGTCAGATTGTATTTGACTCAGAGGATACACGGGAGTTTTGCAGGAGATCTGCGTTTTGTTAAGGTTCTTTCAGCCTCTTCCTGGAACTATCTGGGTGCTAAATTAATTGCTCTTGATCCCACCTCGCGTTGCAATCGGCTTAGTGCTAATCTGGGGTTCCCACAGTGCAGCCAAGTCTCGTCCGAGGCAATGCTGCTGCACGGAGCGGTCCACTGCCTTCTTCTCCAAAGGTTTTGACCTCTGGCACAGTCGTCCACGCTCCCCTTTGACCACACACAATTTTTTCATTTTTTTTTCATTTGTTAGGCGTTTGGGAAGTCTAATTTTTCATTGCGAATCAACTTTGCCTTACCTCTTTTCTGTACAGGCCACCCTTGTAGTCACATGATTGCTTTTCCTCCCTCACAGAACCGTCTCCTTAATTGTGTGAACCTCCCACTTCCCACACTCACGTTCCTTCTTCATATTTCCTCTGACTCTCTCTTCTCACCTCCCATCCCTCCCTGCATTTACTCCGTCCCTCTCTCTTGCACACCAAGCCTCAGAGATGGCCTCATGCTGCCTGCAGTGGCTCTGTCCTGGCTGTACCAATTGCCCTGCCTCCTTTCCTCTTTTCTTTCTTTTTGTGTTCTCTGCTGTGCTGCTGTTTTGTTTCCCCTGGCTCCATGCCATTGCCTCTGACCATCTGCCTCACTTTTTTTTCTCTTTTCCCCCTTTACTGCTGCCCTTTTCCTTTCCTTCTGATGTCAGTACAACTATATATATTTTATTTGTGGTCACATTGTCATTGCCCCCCCCCCCCCCGTTTCTTTCTTTCTGTTTGCAAGACTTCCTTAGCTCCCCATCTTTCCGAGAGGTTCTGATTGAAGTGTCTGCATGCTATTTAAAGAGGCGTGCAGAAAAGCAGGGTTGTTTACAGTGCCCTCAAAATACAGGCTGTCTAGAAACAGGAAGTACCATCGCCCCGAAGTGCAGCAGCACACAGCGTTAGGCAGCCACTTCCTCGTCATGGCTGAACAGAGGCTCCAGCAAAACAACCCTCATGCTTATCAGAGAATTATGCACCCCTCCCCTCCGCCGCCCGTCCTCCTGAATGGCGCACATACACAGCTTTCTCCCATTCTCTTCTTCCCCCCTCCCAGACCGTCTCTCTTCACCAGTACGGCATGCCTGAGTAGCTGCCTGGAGATGAAGGAGCTAATTAATTTGATTTAGCCGTCCTCGCTCTCTGGCAGTGGAAAAACCAGCCGCCCGTCCCCCCTCCCTCCTCCGCACCGTATCAGGCACCCCTCCCAGATGATTTTCCACCTATCCTTTCCAGTCTCCTTTGGCAACGTCCACACTGCGAAGCCTCTCTTCCTCTTCTCCTTTGCTTTTTTTTCTTTCCTGTTACACAACCATATTTTGCCAGCGGTTTATTGCGTGTCAAACTGACTGTAAATTGCATGTTAACTGCAACTCTCTTGTGCGACCTACACACATCTTAATTCCTTTTTTTAGCATTTTATCTCTTGTGTGTGTCCGGGGGCAGTTTGTGTGACTCAGCAGCTTACACAAACATGCTTGTTATAGCTCAGTGCGTCTGCTTCATGGATCTGAAGCATGTCCACTGAGTATATTAACAAGTCTAGGACAACAATATAACCGTCTAATATCACATGTCAATATAATTCTATGAATACCTTCCTGTGCTTTTTGTCCTGTAGCATGCAGATTGTGGACATCTGCTCGGGATAGCCTCCGTGTGATGTGTGTGTGTGTGTGTTTTAAGTGCTTCAGGCAAGGGGTGGTGCAGTATTGAACCAGCTAAAAAGTTTCAGGCAGTTTCTCCCCTCCGCTGAAACTTTAAAAAAAAGCTGGAAATGTCTGAAAATTTTGTCAGCTGCTGAGGAAATAGAGTTTTTGTTAAGCTGCAGAGCTTTATGCTAAAGGTGACAGAGGACATGGGCAAATGTTTGCCTCTTCCTTTTTCATGTGATCACAGGAACATTATTTCTCAATCTCAACGTAATGGACTAGAAGTCAGTAAATATTCCTGTGACACCAGTAGTTTTTGTTATTTTGTGAGAGTGGTCCCCTACCTTTTTGGCTAGTGGCCGCTTAAATTGAAGCAGGGTCTATTTTCGAGCCCTCATCACCTGTTGCACAAGTCTCCTGATTGTGACCAGTTAAACCAAAGAGTGAATTTCCTTTTACTTGTTTGATTTTAGAGTACTGCATTCCTATCCTGTTAATCATCTGAGAACCCCTCAGATTTATCTTGCATCCCCTTGTGTAGCTGGGTAAGACTGCACTGTGTGTTGGTGTTACTTGCATGCAATTAATATTAGATGCACAGTTTTCATATCTGAGAAGCAAACTCTTTCTAGCTAAAAAAAACCTAGTAGCCTGTCAGGACGTAAGAAAACATTTTACTTGGTTGCTACTGTTGAAGGTATTTAGCTTGAATTATCTATCCTAATCTAGCTTTAAAGAGTAATTAATTGCACACTAAATGTTTTGTGACATGTTCAGGTTACTTTATTTGTGCCTCTAGGTAAATTTGTTGACAAAAAGGCATTGTTGCACTGGCCTCTAGATGGAAAGTTTCAACTCTGCTGCTGCTCTGACCATGGGATTCATGTGTGTTTCCACATAGGCAACGATATCAGGGCAGATGTATAATATTTAAATTTGTATTACATTTTCACTGGCTGGTTGCAATCCTCTTCACCCGGGCCAAGTTGAAGCCCGGTAGCCTCAAAATCTTGTTTGATTAGAAGGGTTTTCTGCATACCATAATGCTTCAGGAAAAGATTTAGACACTTAAGTGGAAAAGTAAAAGTCTTGCACGCAATATACAGTGAGGTAACACAGCAAGACACCCAGGGAACCAAGATAGGAACATAGAAAAGTAATCTGACCTTTTAAAGGCTGCATACATGATAGATTAAATGTATTGATTCTGTTATCATAGACAAGTGGGTATATATAATATATAATATAATGCTCAACAAATATAGATTAGAGGATATCAATATTATTTTTGCTGGTTTTGTAAAAACATAACATCTGCGCACTAAGTTACGTGAAAGTAGCAAGAAAAATATTAACATTACTCTGCACTTTTGCCCATAAAGGCTTTCATTAGATCCTTGTTTTGAGAGTGGGCCTTCAATTGTGTATACAGCCTACGTTTCGATTAATATTTAATTTACAGCATCAAATTTTAGGCTTTTTTAAAATTTGTTTTTTATTGGTGCTTAAGATGGTGGTTCTCTGTGTGTGTTGCCTTTAAGGCTTTCTCAAATTTCTTATTTAATTATTGAACATTATGCTGTAGCTCTGAGTAGTCTGATTTGCTTGAATGTCACTTCTGCAGTGATGGTTCTTCATATGGGAGCTGCTTGGTGTGTGTATTTTCTGTTCCGTATTGTTGGATTGCTGCTTCTGCTGTTTGTTATTGTAAACGGCAGAGACGTGTTGGCTACGTGCTCCAGCACGCTCATGTTTCCCTATTTCAAGGGAGGTTTCATCAAGTTACCCACTGCACCGCCCATGTCTGCAAGGCAATGCTGAGGCTTTAAACACCCTTTCATCTGTGTGCGTGTGTGTCTGCAAATGTAAACATCTGTCATGCTTATCTCTGCACCCATGTACTTGCAGAAAATGTATGTGACGTGGTGTCATTCCACCGCTCTGGCCTACATGCCTAACAGCAGAAAAAGGAATTGCTGCGTCGTCCTTGTAAAGCCACTGCTTCCTCTTTAAGAAATCACCGACATTTGAACTCATCGAACGTCGTTTGACTTCCCACTTTGATCTCAGTCCAAGTCAGCTGGAAGGCAGGTTAGTCATCCCTTCTTTGAGATCACTGAGGCTGTTTACTAACCACTGAGCATGCCTGAAGATACATTCACACACACATCAGTAGGAATTCAGCCTGAATTTAAGGACAATTAAATACAGTTGGTTCCTGCTCTGTTACTGTTTTTATACTGTATTTATACTGAAGTAACAATCTACCAAATGAAAACCAAACTAAAGAGTTGATACTTGAGATGCATGGCAAACAAAGGCTGTACTGAATTTAACCCATTCAGTGCTCAGTTGCACTAAAACCAGAACAGCCTAACCGCAGGTGTGACTCTGCATTTTGGTAATTGACAGGGATGTTGAACTTTACCTTTCCTGTCAGATATACGATGACTGACTCACAAACTGCAAAGCACATTTATTAGGTCAAAGTTACCCTTGTGGAGTTTTCATTGTAAGCAGACACAAGTTTTTAGCTAACATGCGTTGTGTGTCTCATTAAAGTGGCTAAAATCAATATATTTATATTAATGGTTAAAATTAGTGCCCAGCACCAAGCAGCAGACAGACACAATTAGCAATCTGGTGAACATAGTGGAAACTTTAGCAGTTAAAAAGCCAGATCTCTCCTTCATCGGTTAGTGGAGACCTACATTCCGCCGGAGGTAAATAAATGAGAATGTTTCTCCATAACCGCTGAATGTGTACATAGGCAACAGTTTGCTATATCAACTTAAAAGGTGATAATGTGTCAGTGTTATATTCACGGCTGGTTGCTGCTATCCCAGCATGGACCAAAAAATAGATAATTGCAGCTTTAAGGCCTAACAAACATGTTGAATGAATTTTCTAGATGTTTTGCAATGTGCTTTGTTCAATTTTGCTTTGTCAACCGTTACTTCCCCTTGGTTCAGTCAGCACAAATATTTTTCATGTAACCCCCATCGTATGAGCATCGTGTGTCCTTGTGCACATCCAATACAAGGACTCACTTATCACAACATTGCTGTTACAGTACAGTGATACCACAGTCTTTGGTACCTTTACCTACTTAACTGTGTGTGTGTGTGTGTGTTTAGAAAGATTTTCATTGTTTTATTCTTCTTGTTTTATTCTTTTAGGAATATCATTTTTCGGACCACATCTTTTATATATATATATATAATGTATGTTAGTCTCCAGAACAAATACATTTATGCCAGAATGTTGATTAGCACCTCGTGAAGGTGCTGGATTTAACACTGATCTTGAGACTTTTTTCCTTTTTTGCTTAAACGGTTAAATATTGAAAGTACTTGCGAGATAATGGTTTTGATTTTCCACCAAGATGGCTTCCGGAGCTCCTTCATCTTTGTGTATTCAGATGTGTGTCGCTTGGTAGCACAGCATGAAAAGCTATGATCACGTTTGGTCAAACATCCATGAAAAGGGACGGCTGGACAACGGGGTTGCCTCTGAATACAGAGTTTGTGACAGGGACTATACCAGCACAAATGTGTGGACCAAGCGGCCACACTCCTGGGACACACATACACACACTATTGTCTATTGCCAACGGGCTATCTGCCTCAGACCTATGCCTCATACACACAGCCTCTCTTTCTTTCGCTCCATCTTTTCACATGTTACTTATAGTTGAAATTTTATTGTCCTCCTGTCCCGGAGCCACTCACAACTGCTGTCTTGTGTCCCTCCGCACACACCCAGCGTGCTTTGAAAACGTGCGGGAGTGCATGAGAGAGGACGGGGAAGGGAGGAAAAAAAAGTTAGTCCAACTCCAAGAGCCAGAGAGGTCACAGGAACAACACCCAATCCCAGAGCGGTTCCCATGGAGACAAGGGTGGCAGTGTACAATGAGGACGAGAGAGAGTGATGAAAGAGAGGGAGAGAGGGAAAGGGCAGGGGAAGAGTAGGAGGAGGGCGGGTAGTTGGCGT